CCGGATGAGGATACCTGCCCCTCTTGGGTTCCCGATCTTTCAAAAGCAGATCCATATGGCCGCAGAGTATCACACCACTATGCCTCGGGATGTTCTGCTCTACACTATGAGTACCAAGCGCCTAATTTACTAAAGGTAGTTGGTCTAATATTCGACACTGTGACGTCTGTTTCCGAGAAGACGTTTGATCATTGGGACGATGGCGAGATAGCAATTCGCGCTATCCGATCTTGGGAACCTGAATGTTCTCTTACAGACCCGTATCCTAGTGGGGGCACCTATTTGGATGCTTTTGCCGCCACATTCATCCAAGACGGAAGAATTGAACGTCGTCCTGCCGAAGGATTCAACTTTGAGCATGTCAAAGATAGGTTCAAAAATGAATTTCTCTCAACAGCCTCAACACCAGTGTCAAAGTTGACTCGCGGAGACATGATGGAATATGTCATCTGGACCCGTTCCAAAGGTAGAGCGATGGTCAAAACTGAGAGGGGTAGTCTTGGCCTAGCCTGTACTTTCGCAAAGCCAGGTAGGTCAGAAGTCATGGTATTCAAGATTCATACTGATGTCGCTAGGCGATGTAATTTGCGTCGTTCTCGGTTGCCACTTTCCAGTACTACTACGTCCATGTAAGGACAACACGTGGAAGTTTCTGAGTGACTGCTACGTATGGGATCTAGAAGTTACACAAGGCTTGCTCGGTCCTCTACCGTCCCCCTGGCAGGAACAGCTATTCTATGATCCCGTTATCGAACACCGGTCTTACACCCGCTATCATAACCCCGAAACAGGAGAGCTGACAGCAGATGACCCTAGGCTGGAGCCTCTTGTAGGATGGCAGCGCGTTTCCATGGAGGAGCTAGGGCGAGATCTTACAGGAGATGACCCAGAAGTTTGTGAATTCTTCCGGAACATGGAAGATGGTAGAATCGTGAACTCCGATCCGCGTTTAGAGCCAGCAGCTCTGAAGAGCCGGGGAGTGAACCTGGAAACTTTTGTATTGAGCTAGAGGATCCGCGATCCTCTAGGATATTTAACAAAGACTCATTCGTTGGATGGGTATAGAACTTTCTCCAACGGCACAAACTCCTCCTTGATCGTCCTCGTGCTCACAAACCGCTGCAAATGGGCCATAGTTCCAGTCTTATCATTAGTACCCGAATCACGAGAGCCGCCAAATGGTTGCTGAGCCACTACAGCACCGGTACACTTCGTGTTCAGATACAGCATGCCAGCAGCGTGCCTAAGAGCGTTCTGAGCATGGCGTAGCACATAAGGGTCCTTCGCAAAGATGCTGCCTGTCAGGGCGTATCTCGAAGTTGTATCAAGAAGCTTCAAGGTCTCCTCCCACTCATTATCGGGAAAGACGTAGATGCCGAGGATGGGACCGAACAGCTCCTGGGCCATGATTTCATGACGGGGATTGGTGGTCTGGTAGACTGTTGGGTAGACGTAGTACCCCTTGTCCTTGGAAGCCTTACCACCAACGACAAGCTCCAGATCTTTGTCCTTCTTAGCATCTTCGATAATCTTGTTAAGCTTGTCAAACGAAGCTTCATGAATAACCGGGTTAATGAAGTTCTCGTAGTTCTCGACATCTCCAACCTTCAAAGCAGATACCTGCTCTTGAAGGTGCTTCTTGAACTCAGGCCATACTGACTCAGCGACGTACACTCGGGAGTTAGCAGAGCACTTCTGTCCTTGGTACTCAAAAGCAGCTCTAACTGTGTTGAGAGCAGCACTCTTCACATCTGCAGTTGGGTGAACGATGCCCCAATTCTTGCCGCCGGTCTCTCCGACAACGCGGGGATACGAGTTGTATATCTCATCCCCAATACCATTGCCTATCTTCTTCTGTAAGCCCTTGAAGACCTTGGTGGAGCCGATGAAGGTCAGAGCACCGAACTCAGGTCTTTTTAGGACTGCATCAGTGACCTCGTTGGGCTCGCCTGGCAAGAACTGAATGACGTCCCTAGGAAGACCGGCTTCAAGAAGGATCTGATATAGAAGCCAACTAGCATGGATAGCTGAGTCGGAAGGCTTCCAGACCACAACATTTCCAAGTAATGCAGCTGGCCCGACAAGCGTGGCACCAAGAGCAGTGAAGTTGAAAGGTGACACCGCATATACAAATCCCTCCAATGGTCTATACTCCATCTTGTTCCACACGCCTGGCGTCTGAACGTTAGGCTGTTGAGCATACAACTTCCATGCCTCGTCGATATAATGACGAAAGAAGTCTGCTGTCTCAGCTGGGGCATCGATCTCGGCCTGCCAGATATTCTTGCCCATCCCGAGCATGGTTGCAGCGACGATATCAGAGCGATATTTACCAGTTACCAACTCGGCTGCACGAAGAAAAATGGCTGCACGGTCTTCAAAGGGAAGAGCTTCCCAAGCGGGTTTGGCCTTGAGAGCGGCGTCTATAGCTGCATTCACATGCTCAGGCGTGGCGGTTGCGTATTCTGCCACGACTTCTTTGTGGTTTGACGGGTTTTGCTGCTTGAGAATTTGCTTGCTGGTAATCTGATGATGCTGTTAGGAGTAGAGTTTCTCTTGTAGACATAGTAGCTTACTTCTGCACCGCTGATTTGAATGGGAATCTTGACGGGGAACGAGCTTTTGAGCTTCTTGATGCTTTCTGTGAGTTGGGCTCGCTCTGGAGAGCCTTTGGCATAGTCGAACTACGATATCATGTCAGTGCGAAGGACTTAATGTCTTAGCCAACTTACCATCTTTTCATTCTCGAATTTTGGTGGGTTCCATAGACTTAAATATCGGCTAGATAACAGTGCTCTGGGCTTGCGTTGGTGAAGAGCACCAAGCCGTGCGAGAGGCCGGTGCTGAGAGCCAAGAGATCTGAACATTTTCCAAAAAATAAGACAAAACAAAGAAAGAGAAGGTCTGGTAAATTGTTGTATAGAAGTCTTTCTACCACATAACCAGTCGTCTTATAAGTCAAGAGGCACCAACAAGGAGGCCAAGAGAAGTCGGGATGACATCCCGACTACGTATCTCGCTCCGACACTCCAACTGACAAGCCAGACAACACCTGCATATGCAAATGAATCCAGGTCGTAATCGATTCCCCACTTTCTGGAACCATTGGTCCCGGCACTTATCAGTGAGATCTGCATGAGTACAGTATCACGTCCTCATGACCTTCTCCGCATAACGCCACGCATTTTGTGATGCAGAGAGGCTGTTGGATCATGCGGGGGTTGCTCTCAAGGTTACAAGATAGGAATGGAAGCGTCGGTGACTCGTTCCGATTTTGTTTACTTGCGTAACGTAGATTAGTGTTAGATAATGGTGGTGGCATGTTCAGTGGGGGAGTGATGGATGCTAACGCTGGCACTTAGGTGAGAATATATGAAAGCCACGGCCGTCTTCTAATAAGCTGGGAACGTTTCATTATCATAGGACCATCATTTTAATTACTTCAACATGCTTTCCAGAACCGTCATACAACATCAGAGGCGTCTATTGCCTGTACCATCCCGACTTCACATCCAGCCACAAATTAGAACTGTTACCAATGCAGCGCTGAGAACCTCTTTGAAGCCTACCCAGGCACCCCTGGTAGAGGAACCATCGCCACTTTCCAAGATACCTATGGGAGTGCTCCTGCGCTCCGTCGCCTTAACAACAGTAATGGCGAATAGGTGGCTACTACGGCCGTCACTTGCATTCATCGCGCTTATCACACAGTCTAACTCGGCCATTCTCAACCCAGACAAGAACCCGGTGCTCAGTCGTGTTCTTCAATGGACTATTTATGACCACTTTTGTGCTGGGAACAGCATTCCCGAAGTGTCAAACACTGTCAAGTACATCAAGAACCTTGGCTTCCACGGTATCATTCTTGGATATTCGAAAGACGTCGTGTTAGACCCTAACGTGAAGCTCCCGACAACTGGCATTGAGGACTATCCGAAAGAGTGCTACGATATGATCGATGAATGGAAGAAGGGCAACATCGATACTCTTAATATGATTGAGGCCGGTGATCTTCTAGCCGTCAAGTAAGTACCTTAATCCTGTGCAAATGACCAGCAACTTACATAGTTTAGGGTGACTGGTGCCGGACCCATCGCGGTAGACGCTCTGCAGGCTGGGAAGCCGATGAATAGCTACCTCCACAAAGCTCTCGACGATATCTGTAGCGAGACTCGAAGGCGTGGATGTCAACTCTGGATAGACGCAGAACAACAAGCTATGCAACCGACACTTGACGAGTGGACCATTACCCTCATGCGCGAACACAATCGGGACGGGAATGCGCTTGTTTACAACACCATTCAGGCCTATCTCAAAGGCGCCAGACAGAACGCGAAGAGGCATATTCAACTAGCTGCCCAAGAGGGCTGGACAGTTGGTATCAAGCTTGTTCGTGGCGCATATATCGAGAATGAAACCCGGTCTCTCATTCACGATACGAAAGAGGATACAGACAGTTCATACAACGATATTGCAGACATGCTAATTTCTCGAAGAGTGCCCGACGGAGCTGCCAACCCCATTTTCCCAGATGCGGCACTCGTTCTGGCGACTCATAATTCCGAGAGTGCGCAAAAGGCCCTTAGCACACACAGAAAGCGCCTTGAGGCTGGTCTTCCCACAGTGCCTATGAAGTGTGCACAGATCATGGGCATGGCTGATGAGTTGAGTTGCAAGCTGCTGCAGGATTACGAGCAGGCTGTTAAAGATAACAGAGTCACTGCTGAGACACCCAAGATTTATAAGTGTTTGCCTTGGGGCTCCGTGCAGGAATGCATCAATTATTTATACCGACGAGCGGTGGAGAATCGTGGCGCCGTTGAGAGGACGCAGCATATGGCGCAGGCTATGAGACAGGAGCTTCGACGCAGGGTACTGGGATGAAGATAGACAGAACTAGAAATTGACAACTGTTCACACGCACAAATCATGATATAAGCTGCATTAGTGCAGGTTTATATGAGACAAAACTTTACAGTAAAGTGACTGGACACGCTTCGCTATGACGCCTTTTCTTTCTCCAACTTGGTCAACAGTTCACTCTTGGGTTGCTCATCGGCCCATCTCGTTCTAGGAAGCTCGAAAGTTGAAGTTATCCGCCCATACGACATACCGCCCAATTGACCGATAGGCCGTAGTTTGTCAAGCTCAATGTGACTGAAGTCTTCGTTGGCAGCATCTTCTTGTACCCAGAACCGAGTCGCCTTGATGAGAACCATTCCATAGTTACTCATTCCGGGTTTATGACTCTCGAACTCTTTGATCTCCACGACCTGCCCTTCAATAGAAAGCACCGACTCTTTAACGCGGGGAGGTTTGACAGTCGTAGTTTGTGCCTCGGTGAGACCGGTAATGTCCCACTCAGAAACACCATACGGAGCGTCGATTGACGACGCATTGACTGCTTCTATCATATTCTCAGAAACAGTGTTGATCACACATTCTCCAGTATCATTCAGATTCTGATACGTATCTTTAGCCGACCCAAAGCGAGATGAGAAGCTAACGATGAACATAGGCGGGTCGTGATCAATCACTTGGAAATAGCTAAAAGGCGCCAAGTTCTTGGTCTCCCCATCGCCGGAAATAGTACTGATGAAACCAACAGGTCGAGGGGCAATACCAGAAATTAAAAGTCGGTAGTTCTGCCCGACGGATCTGTCAGGCGAATACGGGTCGATCTCTCGGTGGATCTTGTCAGTGGGGGACTGACCAGTGCGGACACCATCTCCATAAGACCAGGATGGATCTGGGGACTTTGTTATCTCGATAGGTTTGCCAGAGTGATCAAAGTCGGGTCTGTTGGCTATCGTTTCCTCGAAATTGGTGATTGGTTGCACTGCTGAGAATGCAGGCTTAGCTGCAGCTGCAGCTGACGAATTCAGTCGCATTGTTGAGGATGATGGGTTTGTTATCAGGCATTTGCGTGCATGCAACGTTAATGGTCTAGATTGGAGGGTCAGATACTGTGCCTCTGAATGATATGATCTGGACTTGTGGTTTCAACTCACCTTGATGCGATTGCGGAGCGAAACGTAGTCAAAACCCTGGTCATTATGACAGTTCTGACATCAAAGCACTGACCAATTCTAGAAACAAGGATCTCTTCCAGAAGCACTGAATCCGGCAGTCAACTTACACCGCCGCAAATCTCAAGTGGAAAAGTCGGGATTGTTATACCGATATAGGACACTGACGATCCCGCGTGATAAGCTTCCACTATCGGGATCTGATTCCGACAGCTTCACTCCGCATCCGATAACGCAGTGTCAATCTTCCAAAGCCGCTGATAAGCTTTTTCCACGAACGCTACCAAATTAGGCAAAGACCTAAGCCGGAATGATATTCCAGCTAAAAGACTTAAGTCGGAAGAGCACCCCGACCTCTCCTCAACAGCCATTGTCAATTGCGCAACGATGCCTGCTACACAGAATGGCCAATTTCGAATTATTAAGAAATGTGCTAAAGCGTGAGTTCTTATCTGGGCCGTTGGAAGCCAATACCTGATCGTGGTTGTTGGGTAGGTGTAAGCGATGTCGGTCTATGAAGGTCAAGTGTTCCGGGGCACAGCCCTGTTTGAGATGTGGACGGAAGAATGAAAGATGCATATACGAGGCGGAGGAGAAGAAGGTATCAGTGCCTGAAAGGTCGGTTTCTTTGCGGTTTCCGGTGTCGATTCAGCTAACCTGTGGACAGCTACCTCCGCGCCTTGGAGAGACGACAAGATGGACTTCCATCGCCAAGATCTCTTGGTAATGGAAGTAGACCACGACCGAGGCACTCTTCTGTTTCTGATTATGGTATTTCCGGTGTAGTCACGCGGGACGCATCCATGACTGCGGATGGAGGTGAGTGACCATCCAATAGTCTGTCATCCTTACTAACATGGCGACCAAAGATCTTACACTTGGAACACCTCAAGATCATGACGAGAACGACGAAACAAACGAGGCTGCCTCGTTATCCACTAATGATGTCCTCGAACCCGCCTTCCGACAAAACCCCCTCGTCGACAACGACTATGTCTTCGGGCAAGCCATGGGTAGATACTGTACGTTGCCGTCCGTCAATCATCGGCATACACTAACAGATCTCCACAGGGTACATGGGTCCCGCATCATCATGGGCCTTTTGCAGAAGAGTCCTAGCCCTAGTAGGCAAGCATCTACCCGAAGCAAACAACGAGCCTCTACCCTGGCACCTCGACGGAGTTGCCTTCCGACTACAGTGGAGACCTCTTATGCCAGATGAGCCACCAGATATTTCCAACCTACCTCCATCGGACTATGCATATTTCCTCATCCAGACTGCGAGGTTCTATCTTGGTCCTTTGGCGAGTTTGATAGATGAGGCCGAGTTTCTCCAGCATTTTAAAGAGCTTTATCAAGATGCTTCAGCTAAATCAGCATCTTGTAAGCTGTGGTATGCGCAGTATTTACTCATGATAGCGTTTGGTAAAGCTTTTCTTGGTGGTAAGAGTGCTGATGGAAGTCCACCGGGATACCAGTACGCTGCAAGGGCAATGCCACTGATGCCTGAGTTGGCCGGCATTGCTCTTGACCCTGTTCTCTCAGCGCAAGCACTCACACTGGCTGCTATATACTTCCAGTCGATCGATATGAGAGTGGCAGCTTATCAACACATCGGACAAGCTCTCCGGATATGTGTCTTGTCGGGATTTCACAGACACATGCCGGAAGAAGCTGTTGGGGCACAACACTCTAAGCGATGCCACATAGTATTCTGGGTAGTCTATATGCTCGACCAAGAGTTCGCTGCTCTCATTGGCGCAACGAGTGCTATACGAGACGAGGACATCACGAACAAGCTACCTTCTCAGGCGGACAGCTCGTTGAGCTCACTGAGTCTGACCCTTCATGTCCAGCTTGCTCGGTTAATAGCTCGACTGCTGGGGAGTAAGTGCCACCCTCCTAAGTCTACCACGAATTGGCCGCTAACAAATTTGAAGCTGTATACGGCGTTGGTAAAGATTATGACGGCACCCTTTTTAGTAACACACAGTCTATCCTAAGGAACTTGGCCGAACTAAACCGTGACCTGAACAACATCATAAACAATCATTTCCGAGACTCGATCAGCAAAGCGTCACGAATTGCGACTAGACTTCTGCTCCAGTATCACCACGTAAGCTTCAGAGCGCAGTGCCCAACTTGAAGCTTCGGGACTAATCTTGTTTCAGTGTGTCGTTCTCACAACAAGGCCACAGATAATGTGCGCCTTACATATGCACATTGAACAGTCAAAGACACAGCTTCTGACCCATGGCCTATCACTATCTCCACCGGTTGCATCGCTTATACAGTCATGCGTTAGCTCGGCGCAGGCGATTTTGAAGACGCTTCGAGCCTTGGCAGATGAAGATCTCATCGGTAAGTACAATTGTCATGAAAGTCAATTATGAAGCTGAGTTTTGTCGCAGAGGCATTTCTGCCGTTCCAAATAGAGTATGCCTCATCGTCAGCATTTCTCCTCCATCTCATCCCTATCATATGTCCATCTCTTCTTTCAGACGATTCATGGCGCGATGATGCTCGCTACGTCTTTGATACACTCATTGCGAAGGGTAGTCTGATTGCTCCGCTGCGCAAAGTAGAACTCGAGCAGCTGGAACAGAAGTTATCTGCTTTGACGCCGGCTAGTAATATTGCAACGCCAGAAGTACCGAACCAGGTAGAAGAGCATGTCAGCGTCCAGGAAGAGGACAACGTGGAGCCAGAGTTAGACGAACATGTCTCTGATGAGACGGGATGGGACCTCTTTGCGGCTAATGCCATGGCAGGGTTGACGCCAGGGGAGTTGTTGGATTTGGCAGAACAGCTCGACGTAGATAGTTTTCTATATCAGCCCGAGATGTAAGAAGGCTGAAAAGCACCAAAACAATCAACAGGATGCTTTTTCTGACCCCAATGTCTCTAGGTATCGATAACCTGACCAGAACAGATCTGACGCTATTCTTGTTTAGGCCGAAGATGTTTTCAGGCCATCTGATAGGGTGCAGCTGTTCCAAGCCACAGGCTGACTCCAAGGCTCACAACCATGAGTTCAGCTGAAACCGCTCAACTTGCCAGCTTCAACAACTGAAATTTGACGCAAAGCGACTCAAGTGACCGTATTGCGACCCTGGCCCCTACTCTACAATTTTTAGTAGCTCAAAGAGAACCCTATGGACGTCCCGGCGGTGTCGGCAGAAGCACGGGTCCCTTCCCCGCCGCCCCTCAGATTGGGCCACGGCAAAGGTCGCCCATACGACGTCCCTCCACGGCATGCGCCAAATCAGCAATACGCGATAATTCCAGAGACGAGCTATAACAATAAATACATGCCGTATCCCTACGATTACAATGTCGTGCCACCACTATCTCCACCTACTCCAAAAGCTGCCCTCAGTCCGAGCCCCAGGCTACTCCAAAACCAACAAGCTGCATCATCGTTCAGCGAGTTGTCTTATCAGTACAGACCAATTGAGGATGCATCCATCAGATTGGTTAGAATATTGCCCGAGAGGAAGACGATGATCAAGTGCGAAATTATCCATGTTTCTTTGGAACAGCCTCCTCCTTATAAGGCTATCTCGTACACTTGGGGCGATACAGGTGATACCCGCAAGATCGAGATTGAAGGTTGTTTGATCCCGATAGCTGTCAGCCTCCACGGTGCCCTGCAAGCACTACGCAAAAAACAATCATCTGTCTTGGTATGGGCAGATGCTCTGTGCATCAATCAAAAGGATCGAGATGAGCGGAGCCAGCAGGTTCAACTGATGCCGTTTATCTACTCTAATGCTGACAGCGTCGCAATCTGGCTTGGTCCGGAAGAGAACGACAGCGCACGAGCTGCTAGTTTTCTCGATGCCATAGCCACTACAGGTGAACCTTTTGGTTCCAGCAATATTTCCAAACTCCTAGCAGCTGGTGCCGAAAACGGTGACCTTTTAGCAGTAGTATCACTCTTTGGGAGGGAATATTGGAGACGGCTATGGGTAGTCCAGGAAGTCTTCAACGCGAAGAGAATAATGGTTCATTGTGGCTCGACTCGCCTCGAGTGGAAGAAATACCAGAGCGCTTCAGTACTATTCAGCCAGCGCCGTGGGGAACTCATCTTCAATAACAAAGACCAGCTCAAGAGGCGACTAGCAACTTCGCCCGATCAGTTCAGCTATGTTCAGACCCTGATTTACCAAGGGCCAGCCAGTCTACCAGACCTCAAATTCCACATGTCGGATGGAGAAGAGGCTCTCCTACAGGTGCTACGTACTTGTCGCAGAAAGCTCGCATCTGATCCTAGAGATAAATTGTACGGAATCCTTGGCGTTTTGTCAGCCAGTATTCGAGAAGAGTTCCGCGCAGACTACAATCTCTCCGTGAAGGATGTGTACACTGAGATTGTCGATTTTCTTCTCAAGACGACTGAGAAGCTTGACATCATCTGCGAAGCGATCCACTTCCCTGTCCATACTAGCACCGCCAACCTTCCGACATTCGTTCCGGACTGGTCACATATTCCGCAAACATCGGCAATGGGCTTCAAATATAATTTCTCAGCTTCAGGTTCGAGTAAAGCTATCTGCAGGTTCCGCGACGAACGCCTCAGCAAGCTTGAAATTTCAGGACTCGAGATCGACGTTGTGCAGAGCAAAGGTGTCGTCGTCGGAACACTTTGCAACCTAGGAGATTACCTCATGGCGTTCCTGCACTGGAGAGCCCTACTTCTTCAGGCGGTTGAAGGTCGCAATGAGCAAGAATTACAAATGGCGGAAGAATGTTTTGCAGCGACGATCTGTCTTGGTCAAATCCCATCAGAGTATGACCGTGGTCGATGGCAGGCAGAAATCTATCATGTCTTTGCGAACCTCTTTCGCGACCGCCTACCA